TACCTGTTGCATTGTAGTCAAGTGCCTGTGTCACTGTAGCTTGGTGTGTTAAAACCTGTACAGTCATAAGACTAGTATCCTTTGCATGTGAAGTTCGAACCTACCTTTTTCAGAAGCTTTCCTTTTTTTCTTTACTTTCTTCCAATACATGTCTTCTGATTGGCCGAATCTGTGCCATCTCTCTATCTCCTGATTGGTCTAAACCGTTGCTCGTTGTTATGTGAAACCTGAACTCTCTTAGTCTTGGCACATATAAAAAGCTCTGTCTCTGAAGAAAGATCATGCTTCATTTCTTCAACCACTTCTCCTTGCTCTGGTGAGACTTGTTGGTTGTTGTGTGCCCAACCACTTGGGCCACGCTACAGCACTACGTGAGGCACAGGATGCCATCGTGGCGGCGCAGGCCCGGCAATCATTGTATGCGGATCGAGGACGGGTGGAGGACGCCCTGAAGGAGGGGGATGAGGTGTTGGTCTTCAGGGACTTCCTGCTGACGCCCGAGGAACGAGACAGGCCTTCACACAAATTAAGGCTCAAGTGGTATGGGCCGTTCAAGGTGCAGAAGAAAGTGGCCCCGAATGCGTACAGATTAGCTCTTCCAAGAATCATTCGGGCCCATCCAGTGTTCAATATTGCTGCCCTCAAGCTGTACCATGGCAATGAGATACCGGGCCGTACTCAGCCGGCACCTCCACCCCTAACCGATGCGGATGGCCATACGCGGTACATTGTCGAAAAGGTGTTGTCGCACAAGAAGAGAGGACGGCGCACGCAGTACCTAGTGAAATGGAAGGGCTACCGAGATGCCACCTGGGAGCCGGAGGAATACTTGATGGATGAAGCAGGAAACGCTATTATTCCGCTGAAAACCTACCTGGACCGTTTTTCATAAAATTGCTATTTAATTGGCAGCCACAGTTGTAATGCTAGTTTCTACGTGTTGCAATAGAAATGTAGCATTCTGCATGATTAGGATAGTGCTTCCCTGCCAGCCAGGCGTTATTTGCAGAGGACATGCACTGGATCTTGAGTTCATCAGTGTTGTTTTCGGCTACCATGCATTCCACATATCCATGCATGATCATTAGTTACCATAACTGTTCCTTCGAATTGGTACTGTTCTGACAGTTGAGAGGGGGGAATGGTGTAACAGATTCACTGTTACTACTAACACTAGGAACAGGATACACTTATCACCTGCTATTATCACGCTGCTGCTGTTAGGTGTTATGTCCATCATTGCTTGTTCATGTATATAGGAATGCATTATGGCAAGGATCATTGCTTATTCCAAGAATGACTACTGAAGTTAGTTGGACTGTTACAAAAGGTATTTGCGTGTATTGGAGTCTATCTACATTTTTACCACCAAGGCGATTTCGTGTAGGCAGAAAAAGAATTTGTTTACGTTGAAATTGTTTGTGAATTTAGATCAGTAGTTCTCGTTTGTGGTTGCATGGTTACTTTCTAGTGGTGGATTTATCGCATCTGTTGTCACCTGATATCGTTGATTGATGTAATGTTTCTTTCAGCTCTCATTTTCTCGCGATAGTCAGGGTCTAAATTGTTACTTGCATTGTGCGTATATATATATTGAGTTAAGAGCTATTGTTGATTTGCCAGTAATCCTCTGATGAGATGGCGACGAAAACGTTTAGGAACAAGCTTCTTTATTTACATGAAAACAAGTTTTGCTAATGGTGTTTGTACTGAGTGCGCAGCTTACTCTATTCATTGCGTTTATTACATTTTTATCTCCACAGAAGCTTTTTAATAATAATAATTATTATTTTTCAAACAGTAGCTTGGAGGCGGAGGGAAAACGGTTTCGTGATAAGTATTCGCATGCAACGACGCAAATCCACACAATTCAGCAGACGCTTCTTTTCTATCAAACGTTTTCTTTCCCTTCTCTTCAGGATAGTACAGGGAATGTTGGAAATTTGGAAAAACACATAACTATATAGAAAAATAGAGAACAAGTCAACACTTCAACAAAGGCGATAAAATGACTAAAGTGTTAACAAAAACTCGAAAACAATAGCAGCAAGTTGTAGACAAACACGTTGAACACATCAAGAAGCACTTGTCACACTTTCACGAGGTGTGACACCAAACAACTGCAAAGATAACACAATCTCCTTCTGTACACATAGTTCTGGATCTAGTTTACGAATATACAGAGCTTCTAACACAGCAAGATGTAACTTTGACCTTCCACGAGAAA